CAAAGTTGTCTTTCCGCTCCCAGAAGGCCCCATCAAGGCTAGTATCTCACCAGGAGCAACGCTTCCCGATATACCATTCAAGATGTGCTTGTAATTATCTTGATCAAAGCTCAGTTGTGACGCTACCTTTGACGCTACTGTTGTAACAATGTTAATGTTGGAAGAAGCCCGGCTAAATTTTACCTTATACTCAACATCTGCAAACTGCATGACCAAAGTGGATAAATTTTAACTTTTCTTCAAAAACAGGATTCACTTATATCTATGAAATTCTAGTAAGAACACCCAGATGCATTCTTAGGATGACATGACTTAATTTGATAAAGTTATCCCGCATCTTAGATTTAGAGTGAATATTCTTCAAGAAGCTACATTTTTCACATGAACAAAAAGATTCCAACATCTGTACATTGTAATGGGCAACTTGAATCAGATAACTGAGTAATGAAACAAATTCATGCAGGAAGATGAAAGTGGTATACCTTGAGATATACAGGTAGAGGGCAGTCTTTTTTCTCAAATGAAGATGCATCCTCTATGTCAATGTGGGAGCTATTTATTGAGTAAGCTTGAGACATGAACTCTGGGCTCCCTGCAATTTGCAAGGAGCCCAGAGTTGGAGGTGACGAATCTTCAATCTCATCCGGTCTTCCAATTTCCATGGTTCTCAGAGGCAAATAACGCAACTCAAGCCCCCCTTTAATTAATGTGTTGTTGAATCAACCAAACCATAGCAGAAACCTGCCTATAAAGGAAATGCACGAAGGTTAATTGTTAGAACACATCCTTTCTATGGGACAAGTAGAGACACATTAGGTGACTTGTTTCTCAACACATCATTTAGTTATTACACGCCCTTTGCACGCTCAATTCACTTGTATCTCCAGAAAAGTTAAGTCCAAGTTTAGGACTTCATAAATAATCAATCTTTTTGTCAAATTTTCCGTTAAGTAATGATAGTATTTGACTTGCAGAAATTAGGCGCGCGGCTAATATACATAAACAATATCCATCTCCAACAAAGTAGTCAAATATATGGGACGAAGAATAGCTCTTTTAAAAGGACCAAAAAAAGAATGGTATCAGAAGATTCTCAGAGCATAAAGAATGAAGATTCTCAAGCTCAGGCCAGTATGGCGATGGCTTAATATACATAGCTAGGCTTACCCGAAGTTGTTGGCTTGTATTGGGTGGTAGTAGCGAAGGACATATGGGATTGTGTAGAAATGTGATGGTTTCTGGGTTTTCTAACGAAAGCTGATAGGAACTCACTGTATCCATGGCAGACTGGAGGTTCTTGATACAAATGCTCATGACGCACATTATGATAGAAATGCTGATAAATCTAGCATAACTTTCTGTAACACAAGAGGGAAACACGAAGATTACTTTTAAGTTTGACCGAGCTACATATAGATTAACAACATCAGCCGGATCTAAAAGATGGAAAAAGTGATTGTTGGAGGATAAAGCTGCCAGGGCAACATATACATAGATATATGTATATATACTTATATACTTCAGTCAGAGGGGGGCTGGGTCGGTTTCTGTTGTTGAGGCATGAATCGTTCAACCTACATAATCAACAGCCCGCAAGAAAATTGTTATTGTGCTGGTTTTGATTGCAAAAAATCAACAACGATTCCAATCCAAGCAGGGCAGTTTATCATCTCAGGATTATACCAAATATGGCATGTAGGAGGTGGTTTGCACCAAATATAGCATTCCAGTTTATCATCTCAGGATTATCATGTAGGAGGATTATACCAAATATGGCATATATGTCACATCTCCCATTTCAAAACTGCCCAAAAAAAAGAAAGAAAAAAAAAATCTACCAAAACGGAAAGTATTATACAACTCTCTCAGGATGCACCACTAAGAAGCACAAACAAATGTCTCAAATGAGGCACAAATGAAAAAGAAAAAAGGGCTGTGAACAAAGGGAAAAAAAATTGAGATGCAAAGTAAATTGTGGTTTTAGCATTGTGTCCATCAGTTACTGCATTCTGGAAACGTGTCTGTCGAAGTTCAGTAAAACCTGTATAAATTAGTAACATTAGAACCATATGAATTTTATTAATTTAAAGAGATATTAATTAATCGATAAATTAATAATTTATGAATTTATCGAAGGTACTTACAATCCAAAGAAACACTAATTTAATCAACTAAAGTTCTATTTTATTTTATAAAATATGAACTATTCTATTAATATAAAAGGAGGCTAAAAGTTTAGAAAATATAAAGCAATCTATATCTATTTGATTTGCAAGTATAATTTAACTCTATTAATATTTTCCATATATGTACGTAACTGATATCATTTTTTGAGATAAAAAATGATTTAAAAATACTAAACGATAGATGTCTATCTCCATTTTATTAAATGCAGACAATGAATCAGATTAAAAAAGACAGCACCTTGAGCAAGCGAGTAAGAGTTGCCCAAGTTTAACTTTAGCTTTTTAGTTCTGTGACTTCTGTCCAATGTACCCAGCTCTCAGTTCCGATTTTGATTATGTTTACCATTTGGAGTTCGAAATCAGTTGACATAGATGTAAAATTGTTTGTAGATGAATATGACACCTCGGTTTTCTAGGGTGTTTGTATAATACTACTCAGTACTTGTTTTTCCCTTATTTTAGTTACAGAAACCTTCTAAAAACATCTAAAATTTTTAATAAATACATCTTAAGAACACACAACTTTTTTTTTCCCTTCCTTCTGTCACGAGCTGCTTGTTTTCCTACAAGCTAGAGGTGCGATCCGTGTCACTTCTTCCTTGCCCCTTCAACCACCATTGTCGACTGGCACCTCCGCTGGTCCCGGCGCCCTATCTCTCTCTCTCTCTCTATCTTCCTCCCAAGTGGCCATTGTACAATTGGCATCCAAATATACCAGAACAACAAAAATTGAACAATTTGATTCCCATATTCTTGATTAATCCTTGTGGAACAGTGCAATTTCCGGGCGTCTATGTACATAAATAAACTTATGTGATGAGGTATAAGAAACTAATGCTTAACCTTTGACATTCAATTTGCGTCCGTTTTTTGCTGCATTGCAATTTCATTTCTTCTTTTTATCCTTTCTGTGGTCTACACACATTCGACATTAGTCTCCTTATTATGTTTCCAATCTATTGCAAAACGTTCTACTGTTTCCTGGGGGAAAAAACTCAAGAAAGAATTCGCCGATAAACTGCATATTTTCCTCCATGTAAAGATTTAGACTTCTTGAAAGATTCGAAAACAGGAGCAGCCAAACAAACATATTTTTAACTACTAACATTACTATCAGTCAGTACAAGAATTTTTCTTCAAATCGAAAATTGTTGCTAGACTATTTCTCCTATCCAATGCATTACAACGTGCTAAAGATAATTGATACCATCATCCATGAACCAGCAACCGCAGCCATGCTTGGAACCCGGAATGAGAAGCTAGCAGAACTTGAAGTGGGAGCACCTGAAACAATGACGAAACATGTATAAAGTCGAAATCTGATTCTAACCATTTATTGCAGCTTAAAGTTTCTTAAACTGTTTGCTCGTTCCAATGTTTTGTTAACCTTGAAAATTTTTAACAAAAGCACACCCGAGAAAGTACTTTCAGCTTCTGTTCTCCAAAATTTTCACGACCAAAAAAAGGAAAAGGCCCTTTCCAATTTCTGGCAAAAAAATTTTAAAACCCCACTAGAATAAGCCAAATTATATGTCAGTCGGGGAGAAAATTAAGCAGCATACCAAGAATGCAGCCAAGAGGATTAATATGCACCCCACACCTGCCGGGCAATTGTTGAGCCTGAGTTATGTTAATTCCAGCCCTCTCAGCTTGATTAGCTCCCCTGATGCTGATCATACTACACAGGCATTCCGGCTCTGATCTGATTACAACTTTTAGGGGGTCGCAACAACTGCTAGGTGGATCCCTGTTCCCATTCAGGTAGTCCATGCAAGGCTGAAGTCGTTGTATGCAAGATTGGTCTTGAGCACGGATTTCCTCCACCCTCGAGGAGAAAGACAAGATGAACACCAAGGCTATACTGCAGTACCTGGGCACGAGTTTCATTTTTCCTATTCAATGGACGATGATAGTTAATTTGATAGCTGTTGTAGGTGGTATGCTTATATATTGACGCTGGAAGAAATGTTACAGTACGGGTTGGTGATCAAACTCCGGTTCGAAATTTGACTCTGATGTCATATTAGCTTTAGAGGAAAGTTCAAAGGCGCAGAGACAGATAAATAGGTTGAGCTACTTCTGAAACAAACTAGCAAATCTAACCCGTAAAAGAAAGGAATGAAATTTAATTAATCAAGCAATAGCAGCATCTCAGCAGATTGATGGATGCAATCCAATCTTACTTGTCCTCTTTCGTACGCTTGCACAGGATGATTCAATAATGGTCATATTATTTACTTTAACAGATTATCGTTTGTTTTCCAATTTCGCCTACACACCGAGGAAGCATCATCAGACATGCGTCTCCATCCTTTAAATGTCCAGAAATATCATGCCAACTTTTCAAATTGGTACTATTTTTCCCCCCTACTTGGCCAGAAAAAGAGCATCAGCCCAGGCCCCAGGTAAACACCTAAATTTCACATGCTGCTTCACAAGCATGCCGCAGTTGAATTTGTTATCATGTGAAGCACCAGAGTAGAAGCTCAAAGACTTTTCACTTGCGCTCGAGGCAGGGGATGCAAGCATATCAAACATGCAACAATTGCTTTATTTGTAAAATGCAGTTATTCCAGCAGGAACAAGAATCTGATGATGACGACGGAAGAAATTGACAACCCCATCCGTGTTGCACTGAAACATAGACCCAAACACTTTTGTAACAATAAAACACCGAGCCATAAAAATGAAAACTTTTCCTTCACTTTCAATTATATGAAAGCAAAGTTTAACAACCTAAAGCTATATATGCCAATTCTCATCATAAAAAAAATCCAGCATTCATTAACTCCATTAATTGAATTGGTCAGCGCATGATAAGAAAAGGGGTATTATCCATTTCACCTCCATAACAACACAAAACACCACAGAAAATAGGAGGTATCTTCCCAATGAAGACACCGCGATCTGCTGCACTGCAAACAGAATCTTCAAATTCTTCTAAGATAAATATTTTTAAGGTATCAGATACACAAGCTATTCTTCAAAGGTAAATATCCAGTTTCTATTTGAAAGTTATACTACCAAAGAACCATTGACAATCAAATACACCATGAAAAATGTTTCTTCTACGCCAGCTTAAAGTATTGATCTTCATCATATTAGGTCTTTCAGAGAGCAATTGGTGTTGCAATCTCTTATCAATGCCACTGAGAAAAATAATTAAGAATTGCCAGCAGTTGCAGAGAACAAAATGACTCTGAAATCGAACTTTAGTTGAAAAGGTCTGAGTTTAGCCAGTCCCTGCAATAGAAAGGGAAATAGTAAATTCAGCTAACACGCTCAAAACTTTAGAGACAGCTTTAATATTTGATATTTCTATTTGGTTTAAAAGAAGACAATAGAGACAGTTATTACTTGCTAATATCATCAAGGTGGTCATCGAAATCTGTGATATCCTTCCATTTCTTAGATGATATAAAATCCAAAAGGATCACATTGGCTGAAGGCTCCTTGACAGTCAGCCTATCTGATCCAACTAGCTTCCAACTCCTAGATGTATCCTTTGTGTAAAGCTGAGAAGGCAAAGAAGACAAGTAGAGCGGACAACTAAATAAGTTAATCTTACGAATCTCGAATAATGTTAAGCTCACAGAATGGGGAAAATCACATTATAATCATCCAGCTCTATAAGATGCCATTTTCCACAAATGGACAACCAATATGTTATAAACAACATGGATAACTAAAAATATTGTTTATAAGGAATAAGAAGGTCATCACCAAAAGAGGAAAATATATATCTGCATTGCTGTATGATGAAGATTGGAACAGGTTCCACCTCAAAACACCCAATGAAAATAGAGGACAAAAGATTCAAGCTTAGTATGCACATAGCTAAAGTAGCATTGCAACAGTATGCCGGGTCTCCCTTGATGGTAAAGAATTTAATGCATGATTAATTCATTATAAGCTCATGAAATGACCAGTAAAATCAAAACATGTATAACCTTCTGTGAAGGCGATCTTAGTAAAATAGTTTGGTCCAAAAAAATTAAGAAAATCATGTAAATATCAGTAAAGATGAACAGAACATCAAGCCATCAGGAGAAATTCGTGTTTTATTCGACATCAAAGAAAGGAATACAAGAAAGGAGATGAAGTCAAGCTAATTATAGCTTCTAAAATTCACAAAAACCACAAAAGGTCAAGCCATCCATTAAAAACATCAGAGTTTCTAATTTCTCATACAGTAACCAGTTTCATGACATATTACATGTATGGAGAATAAAAAAGGATTTGTAGGAGCTAGTTGTTTATGTGCAAGGAGTGACTGAAAATTGTTTTTCATGCATAATCAATTGGAGCAATCACAGTTATTTGTCTAATATAACACAATAAAGCAGAGCATAGATGCTTTCTTCAGGAAATCGTCATCAATTCTAGCAAAGGAAGCTTCTTTTGCCATTCCGTCAATTTCAAGTTAACAACCAACTAAAAACCTCAGTTCCAACTAAACATAGTGAAAACAGAGATCCCAATAACCATAAAATACATGAAACATTGCAGAAAACTGACCTGCATCACAGGATTCCCATCTTTCCCTTTCGGCAGAGCTTCAAGCTTTTTGTTATCCAGCTGCAATGCCATACATTACCATTCACTCAAAGTTTCAAATATTTCTCATTACTTTACAAATTCTAATACTTCTCATATCTACAAAAAGCTAGAGTTCGAGTAACTGAACGGTTATAACTAAATAAAGTATACATACCAAAAGCAAAGCAGCTCCAGGAGAATATTTGCTAATGTGATCACCAATATTCTTCGCCACATTGCTTAGCTCAAAATCATCAAATCTTTCGTTCGCATGAAAATAGCCCACAATGCTCAACCCTTTATCGTTATAATACTCTTCGATCTGAAATTCCAATTAGAAAGTTCAAATTTTAACAGAAAAACCAGAAAAATAAAATCCCAAGATTGAGTCTTTCCTGCAAAACAAACTGACCATAATAAGAGCGATTTCCAGGGGAGGGAGAAGACCGATCTGGGAATGGAAAAGAGGGACTGAGTCGACGATTTCGACGGTGTCATCGCCGGAGAGCCGGCCCAGGAGGACTCCGTTGACGGCGGAGGTCTTGTGCTTTAGGGCGTGGAGGACCAGCTTTATGTAAGCGTTTTGATGGATCTCGTACTTCGTCTCGCCGCCCATAACTCGGTGAGTCCGATCGAGTTTCTGTTGAGATTTGGTATCGGGAGCGGCCGACGAAAAGGTTGGATAAGTCCCTGTTGTACTTGCTCGTGTGTCTTTACTCCCAGTCTGTGACTGGCTGGGAGACTATGCTTCAGTATTGTTGTTAACTAATTACTCTGGTACAGGTTTCACAGGACAGATGGACAAACCGAAAAATTAAAAATAAAAAAGACAATTATGTTAGGTCCCTCGCTCGCCGCAGGTTAGGGGCTAGGGGTCGAACCCCTTTTTCCTCTCTAGAATTTTCTAAAATAGAATCGAAGGTTATTTAACTTCTTCTGTGCCTCTCAAAAAATTGGATTGATTCATCCGCCTTTCCTTTCCTTTAATATAGAATCATTTGTAACAATCGTACTATATACTTCAAAAATATAATAACAAAATAGAAAAAACAAATAACAAAACAGGGAGGAATGTACAAAAAAAAGGAACATAGAAAAAAAAAAAGAAAAAAGGAAACAAGGAGATTATAATGCATTAGTAGGGAAAACACCTTTTTTTCAAAGAAAAAAAAAGAGTTTTACTCTTATGCTTTTAATTCTTGATTTTTTAATTCTGATTTTGTCATTGATCATATTTGTTTATCTTAATAAATTTAAAATTGTGTTTAAATTTGATTTATTTATTTATTGAACCGAGTGTGGTTCTGAGTCTTTCACACATTAATTCCCAATTTTATGATCATGGCTTAAACTTAAACCACCAAAATAGTGTTCATATTCGTCGATTTGATTATTAGGTAATTTGGTTTGTCTTCACCTCTATTCCAGAGAAATTTTCTTATTATTCTTTGAAAATAGTCGTTTTTGCACAATGACCCCATTTATAAGCTATGCGTTACTTAAGCTTATTTAGGAAAACAAGAATGTTCATAGATTGAAGCATCGGTGTAAGGAATGACACTTGATGTCTGCTCCGATTTCAAGTTCTTGATTGCACGCGTCTCTATCCTTTAATTTTTCAAACTCAAGCAAAAATCTAAGCTCATAGGCAAAAGAATCCAGTCATTTAACATATAATCTCCTGATTGATCCAAAGATATCAAGAGTAACTGTAATGCTACGAACACTGACACTCAGTTCAAAGCTGCAGATCTTTCCCTTATCTGTGCAACATCAATACTTCAAGCAGAGGAATACAGTGAAGTCACTTTGTGAGTTTACATGAGCTTGTTTTACATCACATGGAGAAATAACAACCCAAAAAGAAAAGGTGACGCTATATAGGCACAAGCACAATGGGATGTAAATGAAAACAGGTTCCTCAGTAATCAGGGATTGAGCCAAATCGATAACCTTGAGCACCCCTCCAGGCGTAATATGCAATTCTTGTCTCATAAAAACCTGCAGGTGTTGATCATAATCAGCATTGGCAAATATAAAAGGCTGGGAGCATAGTCAGCTGTTTGTCAAAACACAGGCGCACTAAAAAGGGAATTGGCGTTAAGGACACGAGATAATAACATGTTTGGCTTATCATTCTACTTTGCCGGACCTGTTGATTGTAAATCCGGCTTTGAGATATTCAGGGGGGGTTGGGGGAGGGGGGGCGGAGGTTTCTCCTTCTCTTATCTTGCCAGAGATATACAAATCACTTTGGCCTTTAAAGAAGGAAAATCACATGCTGCAGCCTGACAGCAGCATCATTTTTAAGTTCTAATGCTCAATCAAAACAGAAACTACTTATCCAATGGATGAACCCGTCCAAGACACCATTTGGTTTGCTTTTAGAAACCAAATGGAGAACTGATAAGGCTGATGCTGCAGAAATGCTATTCATAATCTCAAATGTCCTTCTATTTCTTTATGCCCCAAAATGGTCCAAGCAGATATGCTATTCATCCAAAATATTTAGTGCTTCTCCTCTTTTTATTTGGACCACTCCACCAAATTAGATAAAATAACTACATTTATATTGATGCGTACTTTTGACATACCAGGAAGGAAAGTAAGGAGTCCAAGTCCTAGAAGACCATATGCTTGGGAAGTATCTCCTCCCATGTGACCTGTGAAGATGAAGAACGATAACAAGAGAAGCAGACAGCCCAGAAACAGCAAAAATACTGCCAAGGTAATGGATTTCCAAGGGATTTTATCATAAGATTTTGGTGAAAAATCATATCGAGGGTCATTCCGCCTTCTCCCACTGCCATCATAATCATCATCCTCATCATCATAGGCAGGTAGACGAGTGTACTGAGTGTTCCTCCTAGAAGCCATGCAAGTATAATTCAAATCTTTATCTTCTCAGAGATATGTTCAATAATACTACCTTCAGTATCAGCACAAGTGAAGCGACCTAGAGACCAACTGCAGGACATATGTCAATGGATGTAAGTACATATTCATGAGTCTCACAAGAACACTTTTATCACTAATATCTACTTGCAGAAACTGATTATCCAATTGGAGAGATGAATATAAGGAAAACGCCTTTATCACTGGTAGGATGTATCCCAAAGTAGTACCTTTTCATGATATTCTGACACAATTCTAATGATATGTCTCAAAGATTATTATTCCTAAATAAACTCCTTTTTTCTGGATAAAACTGGCACATAAAGAAGTATGAACGATAAAGAATTACTGGCTCAGACCAAACCTGGATCTAGTCAATTCAACTACATCTGTCTTGGAAATTAAGCATAAGGACCAGGCGCATAATTTTTAAGTAACTAAAAGCCACAAAGCTGAGATCAATTTCTGCCATCAAATGGACATATTGGTAGTTCGCACAAAAAAAATTGCGGATGATCATTAACCTAACGATGGTAACCTTTCTGAATCAGCATGGTGCAGTTAGCAAATAAGAAATAATACATGTATTGATACACAAGTAAAGTTGAAGCATTTGGTTAAGCAGCAGTCAAAGCCATCATATTTTGCTACCAACAATAGATTCATCAGTTATAATCTCGTTATAGCATTCTCTCTTCCTCCCACCGCAACCTGTAGTTATCGGGATTTTGTAGTTCCAAGATCCTAACTTAGCAGTTAGTTTGCTCATGATAAACTAAAATACAGCAAAATAGAAGTAAAAACCAATTAATTTTGGCGAATATGGCAATCAATTTTACATCTTCTCATGATTCCTAGTCAATTCTACACTTTCACCAAGATTACTATATTTGCACTAGTCTTTTTCTGGCTAATGGATGATTTCTCACTGAAATTTTCACAAGTAAACGAACGTCATCAAAAGGCATTACCGGTGAACTTGCTTCAAGTTTTACATAACTAGAAATGCATCCAAATTTCTCGTTATATTTGCAGAGAAAAAGCGTAGGGCTAAAAAGCCAAGAGAATAATACTTACCAAGAGAAAAGGTAGTGAATTACGGATGAATCAAACTGTGGAGACGACCTTCCTGGTATCGAACGGGAGCTAACTTTTTATTCCTGCCAACAACGTAAGAAACTTCCACCCAGAAAAATTCAATATTGACGAAAATGGTTTGTAAATTGCCCTGAATTCAATCATCAATGTTGCGGTTCCGGGTCCAGTTCCAGCTCGGCGGGTATCGGGTCAACGTGGATTGGGCTCGACCTATAAATCGGTGGGCCCGTCGTGTGTGACTATGAGTGCCGTGGATTAGCCCAACTCATGACCTTCCTTGTTCAGTCGTTGATTTTTGTATATACTTCTTTTCTTTTTTTTTGTCAACACAAGAAATATCCTAACTCTGCCGGATTAATATCCCTGTGCTTGTAAATCCCGTCCCTCAAGGATACACAAGTGTTAACAGGGGTCGAACCGTGACCTCGGAACCAAAATAAGCTACCTCGAGACCATCGAACCAACCTCGAGGGGTTTTGGATTTTGTATATACACTCCTTGACTTTTGATGCTATTCAATGGTAGTATTGATAACGAGCCTAATTGAACTTATTTACCTAAACTCAAAAGTTCGATGAACCTTTTAACTTTGATGCTTAAACTCGACCTATATAAAATATAAGGAGGTCAAGATTGAACTTGAACTAGAACTGATCACATTCAAAATTGTAAGACGAGTAATTTATGTCAGGAGCATCAATTTTTAGATAAGTTAATAATTGCAAAAATATAAAAATATATCTATAAAGTTAAAAAGAAAAACTTAATGAGTTGTCGAATAAAATATTTAAGAGCTGGAATTCGATTCAATAATATATTTGAATAGTTTGAACTGGATTGAAGCTTCTAATCAAATTGCACCCCTATTAATTTGTCTGACACCCCTATTAATTCAACAGTTGCTCACGATCTATTATTGAGTTTGTTGACGGTGGAGAGAGAGAGAGGTGGAGACGGCGGTGACCTGAAATCCATACATTTTCACGTTTAAGAATTGCCAATGTGCAAATCAGTAACACAATAATGCGCTAGCAAAAAATGTTGGAGGATGAATTTTGAGCAGCCACGTTGTCTACTCTTGGTCAGTCACAGTCAGGCTCACACCATGAGATGGCCTGAGAATAAATCAAAATTGTTACTCATGGCCTATTGTTTTAGGGGGAAATCATGGATGAGAGGGAAAGATGGGCCCCCCACTTTTCATCTTAAGCCCCAGGCCCGCCTTTACACGTAACCCCACATTTTCAATTTCCATTTTTATTTTCATTTCGTTTGCTCCAAACAAGCATACTTAAGCTGCTTATATTGAATTGTTTCTTCACCTCAGTTTTAAGTTCCCCCTCTTTCCCAGACACACACACACACACACACACACACCAATCCAACCCAAACTCAAAATCTTTCTTTCAAAATCTCTCTTCGAAGAAGTTTTATAAAGGTCTCTGTTTTAATTCTTCACAAACATTTGTTCGGAAATCTCCCATTCTCATTTCTTCCTCCCCCCCCCCCCTTTCTGCATGCACAAATGTCTAAAAGTACTAACTAGTGTTTGATTAAAGAAAATTTAGGATTTTTTTGTGAGTTTTTATTTATTTTTTTGAAAATTTTTAACCTGTTTCTCTTCTTAGACGGAAGAATGAACAGCAACGCCAGCGATGTTCATAGGGTTGCGGCCGGAAATCTTGAGAAAACGATCCAAGACATCAAGGAGATCGCCGGCAAACACAGCGATGATGACATCTATGCAATGCTCAAAGAATGCAACATGGATCCCAATGAAACCGCTCAGAGGCTGCTTTATCTCGGTAAAACAT